GGGGCGGGGAGGCATCTGCAGCTCCGGCCTCAACTCCCGCGCCGCAGTCCTCCTCCCCTGGGGGGCCGAGGTCCGGTGGGGAGAGAGGTGCCCCCCGCTCCTGCCTCTCCCCCTCCCCCCTCCCCAGGTGCCCCCAGCTTCCGGCGACTCCACCTGGGAGTGAAAAAATTAAATGGGGGGGGGAAGAAAATAATTATTAATCAGATTAATAAAAAAAATACTGCTAATGAAGGGAGCGCCCAGCGCAGGTTTCCCTGGCAATGGTTAGGCTCTTACGGGGAGGACTGTTCTGAGGAGCGCTCCGAACGGACAAACCACAATAAAAAGTTCACGTTCATGGATGGAATCCACATGACTTCTTGTGGCCAATCCAACTTGTGAGTCGATCGTAAACTTTTATTACTCAGCTGTAAATTTTCTGCAAACAACCGGGAATGCGATGCATTTGTGTAGCGTGTGCAAATGGGCGCCGCGGTCGCCATGTTTACCCAATTCTCTCCGAGAGGGAGCAGCCCCCGACTCCCACCGCACCCCACCCTCCGCCCGCGCCCCCAGGCCCGGCGCTCCGGTCGGTCGGGCGCAGGAAGGGCGAGGGGGATGCGAGAGGAGGCAAGGAAGGGTTCTGGCGCTGAGTCGGCTGCCTCCCTGTGCCATGCCGAATTTTAAATATTTTCCTTAATAAATGGGTTATTAAGGTTGGTTCTGGGGGAACCGAAGCTTTGCAAAGGTTTGTGACATTGGGGCAGTGAGGGCTGGCAGGGTGAAGGGACTGACAAGGGATGCGCTCCTTACCCCGGCCTTTTTTTTTCCTGGTAAGTGAACAACATCCCTCCCAATGGGGTGTCTGGGCAGCCCCCCACTGCACCCCAGACAGGAACGGGAGGGGCAGGCCTGAACTGACGTGTCTGCAGAGCCCAGAGGGCTTAGACGGGCCCTGGGCAGTCCTGCAGAGACAGCAGGAGGGGTGAGGATTGGGAGCCGCTTCTAGAACCCCCAAAGCACCTCTCATCCCCCGGTTCCTTTTTCAGAGAAAATACATTTCCCCCCAAGACCACCCCTATTGTCCAGTCTTCTCAATTCCAAGGTGGAGATGGCAGCTACTCCCAATCTTTTTAGAATTAAAAATAAAATGAAGGCCCAAGATCTTGGTTCCCACTTCTTCTTCCTTTAGGTGCAAGGCAGTTTGAAGCCCTTTCTGTCTTGTCTGGTAGCGCACACCCGCCTGCCTTTTTCAGAAAAATTCCCCGCGACCTGGCAGCTGAGACACACCTTGGAGGCATTGAATAAAGAACCTCATCCCTCCCTAAAGTCCACCTTCCCTACTAAATTCTGAGCACCCGAGGCACCCCACCCTTCTCCATACCCCAAATTCTGGCGATGTGTCCAGTGTGGGGGCTCAGAATAAAGTCCCCATAGAGACTAGTGGCCCATCAGTCATCGCCCCATCACTCTTCCCACAGCTGGAGGTTTGAAGGCCCCAAGCTCTCCCCTTGGACCCACACGGAGTTGGCGCGGGGACTCCAGGGCTGGGTGCCCTACCCCAACCAACAGGGGTCCCTCATCCCCTCCCCACGCTTCCCCCACAGAAGCGAAGCAGTTCCCTCCGCCGGATGCAGGGACCTCGTTTCTTTTACAAACCCACCCATAAATTTTATAACAGGTAGTTAAAAATTACAACAAGGAAGCGCTGGCCCAGCTTTTCACAATGGGCCACAGGGAGAAAGGGCCAGCCCTGCGGGCAGCTCGCCGGAAATTTTACTTCTAGTCTGTGACACAACCTGTCCCGAGTTCGCTCTAATTGGGGCGGGGGACCTTCCCCAGCCGCTGGGGCAGCTCATTGGGAAAAGATGAGGATGGAGAGGCCAATCCACTCTCCCGTCCTGGGGTCCAAGGAGCCGCGTAGGACATTCAGCACCGCTTCACCTCCCTCCTTCCCCACTCCCTGTAGGCCCGCACCTCCCCTGGCTTCAGCGATGAAGTGGGAGAGAGAGCGAACGTGATGAGGAATTTTTTTAAATCCAGAGAAACGAATTTGCCCCCCAACTTAATAGCTGCATTATCCCGTCTCTACGGTTGAGATTAGAATAATAAATTCAAGGCAAAATGAGGGAGATGCTTCAACTCAGCATTTTGAAAGATACTATTTTTCACAAATCACAAATCGCTTTCGGAAGCCACTTTGATTGGCTAATAAAAAAGTAAAGAATGGGAGCGAGTTCTAACCGCCGCAGCCGAATGGTCCCCATTCCCGTAATGGGACGGCGGGAGCGTTAGGGAGACGCGCTTCTAAAAAGAGCGCATCCTGCTCGCAATTAAATTCCCCCATAAAACGGGTTTTACCTCCTCTTCTCTCCAAACGAGAAAACGGAGGCGGCGGGCAGAAGGGGTGGGGGAGTGGGTGCTGCGAGAGGGGGCGGCTCGAGCTCTCGAGGTCTGGCCCACGTCTCTAGCGACACCCGCTCCATCTGCACCCCGCCCTGCGTCGCCGGCTGGGGCCACGGGCATTGCCGAGCAGGGCCAGGGATGAATGGGACATTTGGGGAAAACGAGGTGAGAGCCTTCCGAGCCACTCAGTGCAGGGTTCAACCCACTCAGCTCCTGGACCAGCGGTCTTTAGTAACAGCATTCATAATTCCACATTTAAAAATGAAACGGCCCTCCGCCAGCCCCCTGAGTCTGGAGAGGATGGGCGCGCGTGGGAAGGCCTGGGGTGAGAGCTAAAGGCTGTCTTTAGGGCTGTCCTGGCGGATAGCGGGTGTCTCGCGCAGCAAACCGGGTTACCTGGCCGGCTCTGTAGCCCTCCGTAGGGACCCCAGGTTCCGAACGATTTCCCCCAGAGCCGCTCAAAGCTGTTCCCGGCTGCCCCCAGCCTGGGCTTTCAGTCGGCACCCTCTCTCGCTGCAGTAGTTCCCTATCCACGATCCCCGACTCAATCCTGTTTTCAGGATCACTTTGCGTGGGAGCCAGGACACAGACGGGGTGGAATTACACAAAACAAGAGTTGGCCTGGGCCTAAGTCTGGGAAAATCATTGAGAGAGAGAGAGAGAGATCTGGCTTCAAAATATTTCAGTCTTTGGGGATCTGGTTTTTAAGAACAGAAGATCTCATCCCCTCCCCTTTCCCCCTCTCCTGACTGAGCCAGATGACTTGTATCTCTGGAATTTGGTATTATTTGACCAGAATCTTACTGGCATAAACAGATTTCTCTAAGACACCCCCCCCCAGGGAAGAGTGAGAGACCGCTTTGCCCCCCTGAGTCCCTTAGCCTTTGACCCTTTATTTTGGAGAATGAGGAGTCCAATGAAGATTCTCCTTACCCTACTGTGGCTGGAGAGGAGGGACTGTCCACTCAGCAGGCCTGTCCCTTCTCCCCAGGCCAATGGCCTGCACTATGAGGGCAGGGCAGGGCAGGGCAGGCTGCCCAAATGCCAAGGTGAAGCCTGGACTGGGCATGAAACAACTAGAGCAGAGGCTGGAGTAGGAGCAAGTGGGTTAAGTGAGGGATGGCTCTGTGCTGACTGAATTTGAATTTCAGAATGTGGGCCCACTCTGCTTGGTGCACCAGCTCACGCACTTTCCCCTTCTTCTCGCTGTCCCCCCGGCTTAAGCTTCCTCATCCTTAGGCATCTTCCAGCCAAGTCCTCCAGGCTGCCTTGAGCCTCATGTCTTCCCCATCGTGTTCACTGTTCTAGTGGTGGGTGCTGGCTGCCCAGGGTTGGCCATGAGAGGCATGTGGCGATCAGAAAGAACCTCAATGCCTCCTCCTCAGCCCCAGTCCTGGAAATGAAAAGCCTAGCTTTGGGAAGGGCATGGGGGCAGATTCTTTGTCTGGGCCCAGCCCAGGGCTGAGGAGGAGTAAGGTGGGTAAGTGGGGAGATGCTTTCTCCCCATTGGGATCCTGGCATCCAGAAACCCACTTTGTTTGGAGCCAAGGTTTTCCCAAGAGCATACTGCTCTTCCTCCTCCTCTTCATCTCCCTCCTTTCACCTGCCCTCCCAGCCCAGCCTGCCCGCTCAACTCTACATGAGTTCCACCCCCCACACCCCAAAGCCAGGTCAGTGGAGGAGACCTTTTCCAGAGTGTTACGAAAAAAGGATGAGGAGGGGAAGAGGGGCAGGTCATGGGGAGGGGGTTTTGGAGAAAGAAACAAGTCATTCCAGATTCACATATTTTTCTCCTTTTTTAAAATTTTTATTATGACTCACGTATACAATACAAAGTACTTGGACCAGGAACAGGGCTGCCGGGACACAAAATCTACATTCATAGCTGGACGTAAAGACAAATGACCAAAAATTATTATTATAGATATATTTTTAACGTTTTTTTTTCCTTTCGAGCACATTGCATAAACAGAGAATTCAAGACAGAGTTAACTATACATTCAGTGCAATTTAGTTCTACTCTACTGGGGTTAGAAGCACAATAAAAGCGCACAGGACCGGCGAGCTAGGCAGTCTCAGTTGTTGGGTTTTCTTAGTGAAATAAGCAGCAACAAACGACAACAAAACCGCATTACGAATACTCTCAAAGCAGGATTTCTTTCTATAGGTAGTGATAAAATACGTTGGAGGTTTTTTTTTTCATTTTAAAATTTTTCTCTTTTTTTCTCCCATATTAGGATTTCTAAAAATTTCTCTTTTTTATTTTTCAAGATTATTGCAGGTTCCCTTTAGGTAGTATGTTAAAGATATCAGTATTATTATTATCAGTATTATTATTATCAGTATTATTATCAGTATTATTGTTTTCATGATTATGGTGATTTCTGAGCACTAACACTAATGCAGCTCAGAGGAAGCTAGGCCCAACAACAGAAATCAGACAGCGAAGGGGAGGGAGGCATGGGCCTGAGTGACCATGGGATGACTAGGTAGGATTTTCAGCAACTGCAGGTTCCTGTCTACCCTCTGGAAAGGGTGGGGGTGGGGTGAGGGGTGGTCTTCCTAATGGGGGGAGGGGAGCCCCAGAAAGGGAGAAGGAATATTCCTTGCTGTCACCTTTTTATTTCTTTAAACATTTCCCCTTTTCCTTTCCTTCCTTCATTCTTTTCTTTCCTTTGAAAAGAAGTAAATCTAATAATCTAATCCTAGCATAAACACAAAGCCATGAATCTTCTTCATTTTAAGGGGGGCTCCCCTCTAAAATAAATACCAAAGGAGCAGGGAGGTGGGAGTGTGGCAAGAAGGGGCAAGAGAGGGGGCAAAGAGGGCAGGTCTCAGACCTTACAATCCTGGCTGGTCTCTGAGGGTGGGGGTAGGGACAAGTGTGTGTGTCGGGGCAACGACTGAGACAGAGACTCCGAACTTTTCGCTGTGTCTCAGTCTCCCCCCTCCAGCCCCCCAACAAATAAAGATGGGGGAAGTCCAAAGGTAATAAAACCAGAACTGCAAGTATCTGACAGGTAGTTAGAGTTGTGAGTGTCATTCTATTCTCTATAAAAGCAAATGACAGTCGTAAACTTCTCAATTTATCCGCTACCATAAAACGAAACTTCAAGGGAGTTGCTAAAGGGGTGGGGGGGGTCTCTCTTTTTTGCTTAGTCCTTGTTTTCTTCCTTTTCCTCCTCTTCTTTCTCCTCTTCCTCGTTTCCTTCTTCCTCCACCTTCTCCTCATCTCGGGCTCCGGGCAGTTTATCCTTGTTGTTCTCCTTTTTCCACTTCATCCTTCGGTTTTGGAACCAGATCTTCACTTGTCTCTCAGTCAGTCCCAGGGCGTGAGAGACTTCAATCCGGCGCTTTCGTGTCAAATAAGGATTAAAGAGAAACTCCTTTTCTAGTTCCAAGGTCTGATACCGGCTGTAAGTTTGCCTTCCGCTGCGCCGCCCGGGAGCTGGACAGAACAGAACCCCAGTCTTGTTATGTTTGGGTGGGGGCTCAGCTTTCCCCTGCCATTCTTTCTCCCCTAAAGTCCTCCTTCCGATCTCCCAGTTCCCTTTCCTCCCGCAGAACAGGCAAGGGCAGATGGGCGAGAGCAGGCAAGGGCAGGAAAGTTTGGGAGCTTGTTTTGGTATGCTTCACCTTGGGAGGTGGGTGAGGTGGGGGCTGGAAGGGGGTCTGTCTGGAACCTGG